ATGCTATATCATGTTTAGCTAACTAGCGAGCTAACTTCCTGCTAACTTCTAACTCTGTTAAATGTAATAAATTCTGTTTTCATGGATGCCTGGATGTTAAACTTAATTGTTACACCTGGTAAAGCAGCAACGCTGATCATTTTATTACAGATGAAAGAATTTAGACAGTTTTTAACTCAGTGATGCTGCAGTGTTGTTTGACTTTGGGACCTGAAACAGAGTTTGGACCCGGACACAGCTAATGACGTCAGACTTAAACACCCGATTGGGGAAAAAGGTTATTTTTGAAATGACAATGATGTGTCCGGTGTACTGTGGGAGATACGACACACCCCACAGTACACTGGTCACCTCTTACCTTATGTCAACTTAAGGACCACCCTTAGGTAAGAGGTTAATCTTTTTAGTGGGTTCGTGTTACGTTGTCAGCCTAATGATGGCCACCTTCATTCACATCAACATCTCTTTGAATCTCAAGAATTTCAGTGAAACAATATCAAAGCAAGTTTAAGAGTTGGAATCTCAAGCAGAGCCTTCATGTTCTGAATTTGTCCTACAGGCAAACGGCAGGTCTCACCTGTACAGTTACCTGTGAGCCTGTGAGAAACTGGAACATGAAAATGACTTCAGTAATGTGACAAGTATTAAACTTGATTTGCTTTACCAGAACCTTCATTTCAGTTTAGGTGAGTGAACATTTTAGATTTTATTAATTGACACTAATTAGCCAATAAAGGTTTTTGTGTATTGAACACAAAGTTTAGAAGTTCCTATGAACGCTTGAGTAACAGCCCATAATATCACACGCCGCCCGTGCATCTGCACAGGGTCACTCCAGAACGACCGGCAGCAACCAAAACACTAACGTTAAAGCTTCAATTCAATTTGATTTATGAAGTGCCAAATGACAACAGTCGCCTCAAGGTGCTTCATATTACAAGGTAAGGACCCTACCTACAACAGTAAAGACCCTGATTAGTGCTACTGCGCTGTTACCGCACTGGAATTTCAAACACAACCGTGAGACCCCCAAAAACACTCAATATCATTATCATGGGGAAGATTTGACCCCGTCCTGTGAAAACAAGTAATGATGATTTTTGAAAATGTTAACTTCTTAGTTTTCAGCTAATTCTTTCCAGTTACAGTATTTAAGATTAACTTTTGTGTGTGTGCTTGTCAAACTGGAGGAGGCAAAGACGTCACTGTTAGCAACTATCTTCATTTGATATTAATTTAAGTATCAGTGTTTTTGACCCAGGGAGCATTCAAATGGCAGAGTGCAACCAGCAGAAAGAACATATGTCTGCACAATCTCTACATGACTAAGAAGAGACTGATTCAGAGATTCATAAGAGTGTAGGAGCCGGGAACATTCGTGCTCACGCTATGGTTGTAAGGAGCTGCATGTTCCCATTAGCATTCTACATTAGTTTGTTTTCTTGCAGAGGTGCTTTCCAGCACAGACTTTTGACAGACGTGTAGAAAAACAATCTGTATTTCTGCTTTACTGGTACGAGCCCCTGAACAAACGCCAGCTTACCTTTCCGTGATGCTCTTTGCACCACTCTGACATCCCTTCCAGTAGCTCGTCGGGCTGCTTAATGATCAAGTTTGGCCCCTGGAGAAAAACAACAGCTGCCTTGAACTTGTATGACAGAGAGAAGAGCAGAGGCTCCAGTGTTCACGTTCACTTTACCTGAGCCAGGATGTTCAGGTGTGAGTCTGTAATAAGGCAGGCCATTTCAATGATTTGGTCCTTTTCCACGTCCAGCCCTGTCATCTACACACACAGAG